TGCCGACATAAAATTGTATTCGGCATTGAATACAATTTTATGTCGGCACGACTTGATTGCCACATTCATCGTTTCTTCGAAAGAAGACGGATCCACACGGAAGGCTTCCGTCCCGGCCACACCAATGCATTAAGACGGTCCATATGACCACGTCAGGGAGAGGATCAGCTGCCATCCCGAGAATGAGAGCTCGCAACTCTTGGACAAAGTCCACCAATTCCTTCTTGCCTTGTCGGGCGGCAAGAAACGCGATCGCACACGGTATGCCTAGTTAATCGACGAGAATACTCGTGAAAGCTGCAGCTTCAGCTCTGTCCTGGAAGGCAGCGCCTTCGGCCGAATTACCGCACGGCAGTGCCTATTTTCGCGCTCGACCACCGAGCTTGGACATAGCTAGCGGCACGTGCTGTTGCTCGGTCTACGCGTGGCGGACGCCATAGCCATATCGGCCTCTACCAGGGCAGGATATTCTCTTCATCCTTTTCCTTGGAGATTTTAACACTCATTATGAGCGGACTAGGTCGGGGGGAGTCATCGGTCGCCGACGGTGGCATCATGTTCTGCGGTAGGTGCTCTGGCAAAACAGTTTCATAGCTTGAAAACGTCTCTAGGCGCGCACATATCGCCTCGGAACCTTGCGAAGCGAGGCGTTATACGCCCTCAGGGCCACGCAGAGCCATCAGCTTTTTTAGCCCGTCCTGCATGCCTTGGGGCAAGAAGAAGAATTGCTCTATCCTGACCGAGGATCAGTCGTAACGACTCAGAGCTGGATTGACTACGAATGCTACCAATTGTAGCGGGGCTGCCGTACCTCTTTCGCTTAGTGAACGCTTGGTTCAGATCGGTGACCTTCGTTTTATACTTAGGACCAGCGAGTAGCGGACTGCAAATCGCTGACTCCAAGAGTACCCAAAACCTTAATTTAAGGCAAATAAACTCTTCCGCTTAATATTTAAACTGCATTTCCCGGTTTGATTTACGGCAGAGCCGTCTATATCAAAATTCATAGGGTTTCCTAATTAAGTAGAAAACCCAAATTGATTTGCATAACTACTGGCGGTCCCGCCACGTAGTGACTACCTGTTTTAGTGTAGCCACATCATTGTGTGGACACAACATCTTGTGTGACCCACATTTTCATACTTGGGCACGTGTAACCTCGTTACATATTGTGAGCAAGCTCCGCCGGAGGCAGTAGCAATGTGGCACAAAACATCAGCTCGCGTCGATGGGTTTTGTGGTTTATGTATCTGATGCGTGTGGATTAGTTCACAATCGAGGTGTGAGTTCGGTGTACCTTATCCTATACGCGGATGAGCTTTTGATTGGGTTTGTGGACAATGGTGTGGCGGATGAGATCAAGTCGGGCTTGCTCAACCCTTTTCAGCTTAGTGATTTGAATCAAGCGCGATTAGTACTTGGCATCGAGGTTTATCACAACCAAGAGCATGGCAAGCTGCACACTTGCCAATCTCAATTCATTGAACGTCTCACGAGTAAGCTCGTTGAGGAGTCTGTCCAATCATGCCGTAACCCCAACGTGGTTAGCCAGAAGTTGACTAAATTTTAGGAATCTCAACGCGTGGATGGCCGACGGTAAAACCTACATAGCAAACGGTACGCGTCCGGACATTTGCGTCTCTCTATACCACGAGTTCATGCGAAGCACAATTGAAAGCTGGGATTTAAGTACTACGGTACTTGATGGGCACTCCACAGCTGAGCATCACGTATACCCGACACGATTAGACGGGGTTTGGCCTGACGGCTTATGTTAACGCGAAGTAAGGTGGTGATGCAGCGACGCGAAAGGAAACGCCGGGTGTATTGGTGCTTTTTGGTAGCGTGGCAATCGTGTTCAAGTCGCAGCGTCAATGCATCATTGCTCTCTCTTCAACAAAGACTGCGCATTTGGCTCTATCGCTGACTACTTAAGAATAGCAGTGGGTCCGACATTGGCTGCTCGAGAATAACTGCGAATCAGACACCTCCTTGAAGAACTTATTACGAACCACCTCCTACTACTGCTGTGAGCGTCGATAACCAGGCAGCCATTGCCATGGTATCGAATGCTGGTTATCAATCTTGCTCGAAGCAATACTGATATGCTATACCATTTTGTTCGAGTTGCTGTGTGTGACGGTCTTCTATAAGTTTAGTATGTGCCGTCGAGTGAATAGCTCTCCAACGACATAAACAATTCACTTCGTGGGCCACACATCCAGCGCCATTCGGTCGAATGTTGTTAAGAGTTCGGGCATGTCCATGTTAAAAAAATAAAATCGGAATACAGTAATCGAATCAAAAATATTCTAAAGCGATTGCGCGACGCGTCCGCGAAGCTTAGCAAAAATATTTATTATATAGTAATTTTGACAGCACAGTAAACGTATTTGCAGGCAGTTATTTTGCGTAAATAATATATATAGGTATCAGTACTCACTCGACATAGTCACGAAGTATGATGTAGTGAGAAGGAGTGCCAAATCATAAGCGGCAGCTGTGCCAGAGCAATCTTGCCAAAGTGAGATCTCTAAGATCATAGGGTCTCAAAAGGAGAGAATCCTTATTTTATAGCTGGCAAGCCCATCGGTCTATTATTCGTCCCACGCCGAAGTATGTCACCCCTCGCTCAGCAAGCAAAGCCAGAAGAAGGGGCAGGGTCGACCAGCACAAATTGCCTTCTATCAGCCAATGGCCCTGGTCTTTTTCCGCGTTCAACACATGTCCGGTAGTGTGCCAGCAGGCATGTCATAATGAGAACGTTTGGTTTCGGTAAGAACTGAAGCTGGTGAGTTTGCACCTCGATGTCTACCGTGTAGTTCGAACTAAATAAAAGAGACACTTGAGTCTGATGTTTGCCACTTGAGTAGACATGTTAATTTGTTTAACAGATGTGACGGCGTGCAATATTCGCTTACTGCTTGAGTGAAGAACAGTTACCTTCGTCTTGTTTGCTAACTTTTTGTCCGCGACCTCAGGTGGGTTAAGGAATTTCTCAACCACTGTTGCTGCGGATAATGCTGAAGATAGGTGAGTAGTGCGGTGGGGAAGCACATCTAAAGCACTTGTGAGTAACCGTATTTCTCTTGATTGAGAGGTGGACCAGTATTCCTCGACGTACAAGGGCTACGCAGAGGCACTACAAGCCGCACCGAATGGATTAAGTCCATGATCGCGCTTTAATTGAGCATACAAAAGCGATTATTGCGGTTGCAGTCGGCGAGACTTGGCTCGCTGAGCAAGGTCCAACTTATTTGTAACGATCTGGACTTCGTCGAGGGTACCGCACCTGGATGTCTTTACGCCGTAGGGAACAGGCACAAAGTGTGCAGCTCATGTACCGTACTTCACAAAAAAAACACCTGACCAACTTTTGAAAGGTGATTTTGTTAATATTGAAGGTGGTCAAAAATGAACCGAAATTGTGATTATTTTGTTAAGTTTTTAGGGCACCTTG